CAAACACACACAGACACACACACACAGACAACCTCTCGTCAATATGCGTTTTTCGCATTGCATTGTTGCAAAAAACGCATAAAAAAGGTCAACTTGGATCCAGAAGTGCTAAATCAATTTTTTCCAAAGCAGTAAAAAACAAAAGGCGTCGAGAAAAGTGAACAGTGACGGAAACGTCTTTTCGAGCCAGAAAATTTTGTATTGCGGCAACTGTTTCGTCTACAACAACTCTATTGGCGGGGAAAGAGAGGAAGCTTGCGGTATATTGGTTGAAATCGAGGGGTAGCTTGTGATCCCTAGGGCAGAAGATCTTAGTGTCGCTCTGCACACCATGTGTGATTTCGCCTCGATAACATCCAACTTGAGCACTTTTCCGTGCAACTGGTTTTTGTTTCGTCATTTGCAGCGTTTTCTTTTTTATTCGTTTTGTGCTGTGTAACAGCAGTACAAAACGCATGTTGTCGCGGGGTTGTCTGTGTGTGTGTGTGTCCGCAGCAACTTGTCCGCATCAACTCGGGAACCACAAAAACTACGAAGCTGAAAATTTAGGGGAACGTCCCCCACCCACGTGTGACCCCGCAAATTTAAATTCAGCTTCGCCGTACCCGCGGATAACACGTATGGCCCCGTGAAAGTTTTTTACAAGTAAATTAATATCTCGGGGACTACGGAGTCTAAGAGGCTGAAGTTTTAGGGTAATGGCCCCCTGCCCACGCCCAACCTTACCTATTCAAACTCAGCGTTATCGCGCTCTTGAGTATCACCTACAGCCTCGTGAAAATTTTGGCGAGTAAACTGTTAACTCGGGAATCACGGAAAGATATTCACCCTTCTAGGTTTCGAATTCAGCTTTCATGCGCTGGTGCGTGAAATTTTTGACTGTTTTCCAATGTTTGAACTGTTTTTGCATAGACAAAAGTATAAAGCAGTGAAAATCATTAATAGGCAATCTTTCGATGTGCTGAATTGCACAAAACGCATAATCGCACCGGCTAGTCTGATGGGCGTTGCTATTTATGTTTTTTTGAGGTGGTTAGCATAAATCGGGCTCGCTTCCTCTAGATTCACCTGCTATTTTTTTTCTTTGTGGTTTCTTAAAAAATGTAATCTTTCAAGCTTTACAGTATGTGACCGACTTTATTCTAGGCTTTTTCATTTAACAGTTGTTGCTAATGTATTGCAGCCGACCGACGAAAGGAGAAGCATCTCAGTTTTTTGTTTTCCTTAACCAGATTGGCACACTTATCTGTTTACCCAACAATATTCTCTACTTTTTTGTCTAACCTTTTACCTGTGGCTTTGTTTATGTATTTTAATGTCAATTGTAATGTAGCTAGATCGAAATTGTCATTTTTATACGGTTTTTGCAGTCATGCAATGCGGAAAAAGCATATTGACGAGAGGTTGTCTGTGTGTGTGTGTGTGTGTGTTTGTGTATATGTGTGTCTGTGTGTGCGCAGGGCCACTGTACCGGTTTCTCACCTCGAGACCGGCAAAAGCTACAGGGCTGAAACTTTGAGGACTTAATCTACATGCAGGTACGGACCCCCTTCCCCAAAATGGGCGGTCTTGCCCGCATGGTACTCACGTAAGAGCCCGCCAAAGTTTTTTACGAGTAAGTTGCTAACTCGCGAACCAGAAAAGCTAGAAAGCTGAAATCGTAAGGAGATGTTCCTCGTCCACATTATTCTCAAAGAGCTCAAACCCAGGCCTCGGTCATGCGTGGTACCTACGCACGAGTTCACCAAAGTTATCCTCGGGTAAGTTCATAACTCGAGAATCTGAAAAGCTAAAGGGCTGTAGTTTTAAGAAGATGTTCTTCGCCCAAGTAAGTCTCAATGAGCTCAAACCCAGACATCGGGTCTTTATGGTACCCGCGTGTGGGCCCGTGAAAGTTTTTTTCCAGTAAATTGCTAACTCAGGAGCCAGGAAAACTAGAAAGCTGAAATTTTAAGACGGTGTTTCCTGCCAGTTCTGGTAGCCAGTCTTAATTTGTTTAACCAGAAGCATTTGCCCGAAAAAACCGATGGCGGTAGCGACAAAAACTGCGGAGAACTATGCAAAAAACGCATCTTCGCACGGGCAGTCCGTGCGTTGGCCAATTTTTTTTTTTTTTTTTCAACCAAGTTTAGCTATTCATAGCAATTTTTTGTGCCTAGTTAACTAAAAATTGTGCTTTTCTTGTTGAACCAATTCTTCCTTCTCTTCATTGGAAAGATGTCGTGTATCTACGCTATCCACCTGCTGAGTACCCTACTGAATCACTTTAATACGTCTGATGTGCTCTTCTTAATCTGAATAAGTTAATTTTTTAATTTCAACTTCTAGGCTTTTCCATTTGCATTGGATTTGGGTTTCAAGTGTTGCCTGGTTTCTAGTTTGCTTTCTTCCTTTTTCCAGAAACTCATTTCGTGGGAGCTGACGTATGAGTTTCAGATCCGCCATCGAGGCGTTAAAGGTGTGCTATCTGTCGATCCCATGCTGGACGAACGCAGCAGCTGGGCAAGAAATAATAATGTTGAGGATAGCGGGTCAGTGTTGAATGACTTATCGGTTGTATTTCGGCCTTCGCAGGTTAGTGATGTCTTCATAATTGGTCGCGTCATTTCTACAGTAATAATCGGTGCACGCAGTAGGGCCATCGCTTTCGCATAATTTTGTAATTGGGTGCTGTGGAAACATGCTGCTAGTGCGTAACTCAACTTCATTATGGCCAGGCTAGCGATCATGAAAATGTTCTTGTTGTGGTTTACAATTTTTCCCCATCCTGCGATTATGAGGCTGGAAAAATGAATTCAAGTTTTCGCTTCACTTTTTACGGTTTTTAGCTTTCTCGAGCTACCTGACGAATCCAGAGTCATTCATGGAGTCAGTTCGTTTCAAAATTAATTTCAGTTATATGCCTTCGGATTACTGTTCCCAAATTTCAGTCTTTCTCATTTTTATGCGTTTTTTGCATCTATGCAATGCAAAAACGCATATTGTCGAGGGGTTGTCTGTGTGTGTATGTATGTGTGTGTGTGTGTGTATGTGTGTCTGTGTGTGCGTCTGTAACGAATTTTCATCTCGAGATCCACAAAAACTACAAGACTAAAAATTTGGTGACTTAATCTAGACATACGTGCGGGCTCGTATCCTCAAAATGGAC